GAGAATAGAATGGGAGAGAATAGAATAAAATAGGAATAGAAGAGAAGAAAAATAGAAGAGAGAATATAATAAAATAGGAATAGAAGAGAAATAGAAGATAGAATAGAATAAAATAGGAATAGAAGAGAAGAAAAATAGGAGAGAATAGAATGGGAGAGAATAGAATAAAATAGGAATAGAAGAGAAGAAAAATAGAATAGAATAAAATAGGAATAGAAAAGAAGAAAAATAGGAGAGAATAGAATAGGAGAGAAGAGAGAATATAATAAAATAGGAATAGAAGAGAAGAAAAATAGAAGAGAGAATAGAATAAAATAGGAATAGAAGAGAAGAAAAATAGAAGAGAGAATAGAATAAAATAGGAATAGAAGAGAAGAAAAATAGAAGAGAGAATATAATAAAATAGGAATAGAAGAGAAGAAAAATAGAAGAGAGAATAGAATAAAATAGGAATAGAAGAGAAGAAAAATAGAAGAGAGAATATAATAAAATAGGAATAGAAGAGAAGAAAAATAGAAGAGAGAATAGAATAAAATAGGAATAGAAGAGAAGAAAAATAGAAGAGAGAATAGAGTAAAATAGGAATAGAAGAGAAGAACAGAACAAAATAGGAATAAAAGAAAAAATGGAAGAGAGAATATAATAAAATAGGAATAGAAGAGAACAGAACGGAATAGAATAATATAGCATAGTACAATAACATATAGTATAGTATAATATAATTAATATAATATAATAATAGGGTACTAATGTAATGTAATAGAATGTAATTATAATAACCTTCAAAAGGCAGGAGGGCCCAATGATAAAAGATCCCAAGATCAAGACTGGGGAAAACTGGCTTCAAGAAGATCCGCTTTCGTCAGAGAAGCGGTGAGTTAGTCGTTTCCTCTCAGCCGGCCTACCTCGCCGGGTTGTTGTGGGAGGAAAACGCCAGCAGTCCCGGCCGGCCTCTTCCTCACCCAACCGGCAAATCCCTTAAAACCATCAAGAGGGAAGGCAGACGGGACTGTGGCATTTCCCCTAGGGACCCGGCGGCCCTGGCACCATGGAGAATTCCTCGGATGGCGAAGGCAGGAATCTCTGGAGTGAGGCTGACCTCGAAGGGGAGGAGAAGACTTGTGCCGTGTGCGGAGACCGAGCCAGCGGCTACCACTTCCACGTCATGACCTGTGAAGGCTGCAAAGGGTTCTTCCGGTATGCATGGAGGCCTTCTTCGGCTTCTCTTCCTCTTCCTCTCTCTCTCTCTCTCTCTCAGCCTCAATCATGAGGACTAGAGCCTTGCGGGGGCTGCTTATTTCAGGCAAGGCGTTTCTCTTAGAAGAGGTTAGGGACCCGAGAAGGGAAAAGAGGCCTTCCTCCTTCCCACCCACCCTCCACCCCCTTAGATGCTTTGCTGCCTTTTGAAAAGGAGTATTTTTTAGTTAGGATTGGTCAATACCGGAAAAGCGAGGAAGGATGAAAAGGAAAAAAAGGAGAATGGAGGAAAGAAAGAAAAGTGAAGCAGCGAAGGAAGGAAGAGGAGGGAGGGAGGGGGAGAAGAAAGGTGGGAGGGGGGAAGGAGGAAGGAAGGAAGGGAAGAAGGATGGAAGGAAGAAGGGGGGAAGGAAGGAAAGGGGAGGGAGAGAAGGAAGGAATAAAGTAACAAAGAAGGTGCAAAGTAGGAAGGAGAAGAAAGGAAAGAAAGGGCAGAGAGGATAGAAAGAAAGAACCAACGAAGGAAGGAAAGAAGGTGGGAGTAAGGAAGGAGGAAAATAAAGTTGGAGGGAGGGAAGGAAGGATGGAAGGAAGGAAGGGGAGAGAGGGGGAGAGAAGGATGGAAGGAAGGAAGGAAGGAAGGAAGGAAGGAAGGGGAGAGGGGGAGAGAAGGAAGGAATAAAGGAAAAAAGGAAAAAAGAAAGAAAAAGAAAGAAGCAAGGGAGGGAAGAAGGAAGGGAAGGAGAGCGGATCAAAAAGGAGAAGAAGGAAGGAAGGAGGAAGGAAAGAAAGAAAGAAGATTGGTGGGAGGGAGGGAGGGAAGGGAAGGAAGGAGGGAGGGAGGGGGAGAAAGGAAGGAAGGCAGGAAGGAAAGAAAGAAAGAAAAAAAGATTGGTTAGGGTTAGGGAAGGAAGGAGAGGGGAGAGAGGGGGGAGAGAAGGAAGGAATAAAGGAAAAAAGGAAAAAAGAAAGAAAAAGAAAGAAGCAAGGGAGGGAAGAAGGAAGGGAAGGAGAGCGGATCAAAAAGGAGAAGAAGGAAGGAAGGAGGAAGGAAAGAAAGAAAGAAGATTGGTGGGAGGGAGGGAGGGAAGGGAAGGAAGGAGGGAGGGAGGGGGAGAAAGGAAGGAAGGCAGGAAGGAAAGAAAGAAAGAAAAAAAGATTGGTTAGGGTTAGGGAAGGAAGGAGAGGGGAGAGAGGGGGGAGAGAAGGAAGGAATAAAGGAACAAAGGAAAAAAAGGAAGAAAAAGAAAGAAAGAAGGTTGGAGCAAGGGAGGGAAGAAGGAAGGGAAGGAGGGAGGATCAAAAAGGAAAAGAAGGAAGGAGGGAAAAGATAGTGATAAAGGAAAGAAAAAGAGAGAGAGGGGGCGAAAAAGGAAGGAAGGAAGGAAGGAAAAGATAGAGGTAAAGGAAATAAAGAGAGACAAAGAGAAAGAAGAGAGGGAGGAAAGAAAGAAAGAAAACAGAGGAAGGAAGGAAGGGAAGGAAGGAATAGAAGGAAGGAAGGAAAAAATAGAGGTAAAGGAAATAAAGAGAGACAAAGAGAAAGAAGAGAGGGAGGAAAGAAAGAAAGAAAGAAAGAAAGAGAAAGAAAGAAAACAGAGGAAGGAAGGAAGGGAAGGAAGGAATAGAAGGAAGGAAGGAAAAAATAGAGGTAAAGGAAATAAAGAGAGACAAAGAGAAAGAAGAGAGGGAGGAAAGAAAGAAAGAAAACAGAGGAAGGAAGGAAGGGAAGGAAGGAATAGAAGGAAGGAAGGAAAAAATAGAGGTAAAGGAAATAAAGAGAGACAAAGAGAAAGAAGAGAGGGAGGAAAGAAAGAAAGAAAGAAAGAAAGAGAAAGAAAGAAAACAGAGGAAGGAAGGAAGAAAGGGAAAGAAGGAATAGAAGGAAGGAAGGAAAGAAGGAAGGAAAAGATAGAGGTAAAAGAAAGAAAGAAAGAAAGAGAAAGAAAGAAAACAGAGGAAGGAAGGAAGAAAGGGAAAGAAGGAATAGAAGGAAGGAAGGAAAGAAGGAAGGAAAAGATAGAGGTAAAAGAAAGAAAGAAAGAAAGAGAGGGAAGAGAGGGAGGAAAGGAAGAGAAGAGAAGAGAGGAAGGAAGAGAAGGAAGGAAGAGAAGGAAGGAAGAGAAGGAAGGAAGAGAAGGAAGG